ACCCGACAGTTTCAGAGTTTTAAAATGCTGATTAAGGGAATAAAATGGGGCGCGCTAAAGTCGAAAATAAAATACCGAAAATCGACAAAATATCGCATATCTCGGGAATCAGCAAAGGGACAAAAACAGTGGAACAAACTGTGTGTGTAAATATGTGGCGTGTATGTATGTATGTATTTGTAGGTTTAATAATACAGTATGTACAGGTACACAACAACGGAATAATGCTGATGACGTGTTGAGGTGTAGTCCATGTTGTGGTTGTTGTGCATTTGGTTCTGGCCGGCGTCGGGGCTGAAAATGGGGGAATAAGTATGACAGGTTATTGTTAATTTTATTTGTTAATTTACTTAATTATAATTGAGTAATAATTAAGATTTAAGTACTAAATTCACTGATCTATTTTTCTATTTTTTAAAGCCTTACCTAAAGTTCGACTGGTCCCACCCAATATCCGGCGACATTTGGCTGGCCGCCAAGAATGAGGATGGCCCGCCGGCCTGGGACATTAGCGGTCCGGTGGCAGAAGCGGATTCGTCTGCAATGGGTACCACGGGTATTGGGGCGTCAAATAATAGAGCTTACCGCCAAGTTCATGTCCTCCATGATGAGGTCGCTGAACGGCATGTTCTTGTGGCTGTCGGGCCTGAAAAATTCGGTGGTTTCAAGGAATGTATTGCGTATGAGCGTTTTCTTGGGATACCGACCTCCACTGCGGCGTCCGATAGTCGGGGCTTATGCAAAGTAGTCCGGAGTTATGGTGCATTCGGCCGATCAGGCGGCGTGATAGCCATCACTTGCGGCCGTCGGTGTCCGGACAGTTGGGACATGAAGCCAGATGAGGACTGGAATGGAGAGTTTTTAGGGTTTGTGTTCATCCTCCATGATCTAGCCCGTCCTAGATTCTAACGCTTTCCGCCTGCTTAGTTTTCCTTAAACAGGGAGCGTCCTTTTGAGTTGTCATCGGCAAACGATTTGAGACCCAGCTCATTCGATTGAAAAGATTGAATTCTAGACAGACTGTGTTATTCCATTTTTTGCGAATGGCTGTCCCTGATTTTATAGAATTAAAAAAAAAACCAAGCGCGAAACCCTTAACAACTCCGCCCAAGCACCAATGTATGGGCGTCGCCGGCAGTTTTTTAATTTTTATAAAATCGGGACAGCCATTCCGCAAAAATGAACAAGCACAGTCTTGTTTAGAATTGATTCTCTATCGAATGAGCCGGGCTCGAATCGTCTCGGCATGACACCAAAAGGACACTTGCAAGAAACCCTGCTAGCCCGCCCAGGGCACTCACCAGAGATCCACACGGCGTATGATTCGGGCTCTCGTGTCAACGCTTGTATCTGAGCGCGGGCGCGGCTGCGGATGACGGGTAGTGGCGGGAGGTTTCCGCTCGGCGCGTTCTAGCCCGTTCTGGGCCGAGGATCTCCTCGAGCTCCTGCAAAAATCACGAGGTTAAAGGGGGCGTGACAGGAACGGTTTTGGCTCTTGAAAGCTATAATTTCATCGCAAACGTTATTTAATGGCTTTGGCGACTTACCCGCACTCGATCGGCATACTGCTTGGCGGTCACCTCGAGCTTGGACTGGTGCTGTTGTTGCTTCATCATCACCTGAAAATGGGTTTTATGGATTACGGAATGTAAATGCGGTGTAAATCGCATCGTTTTGGTGGTATTTGGCCGTAAAAACTAGAAAATAAAGACAAAAACCGAAAAAATGAATCGATTACGTCAGGAAAAACCGAATTCATCAGCTAGAAACTGCAAAAATGCTCAAAATAATCCATTACGTAATCAAAAAGGTTCCTGAATTTTAAATCGCCTTTACATAGCGTAATCGGGTGTAATACGCCGTTTTAAAACAGCCTCACAAATCACCGAAATCCGCCCATTCCACGCCATGTAATTCCGCGCAAAAAAACTGACATCCCGGTCGCGTTGCAGCTGACGAATGTAGTCGCACGACGCCTTGAGTATGGTGCCCTTGTTGAGCTTCATGTCCCTGAAAGGGTTGAAATACTGTACACTAGGGCATACAGTTGCTGTGTTTGGTGCTTGGATGGAAAAACGCACTCTGAGCTGCCTTTCGGGAGCATCAACCCCAACTCCTTGATCCGGTCGTTGATGTTGTAGCGCCGGCGGCGTTCGACTGAAAATTATTGGCGTTAATTGAAGGTTAACAAGGCGATGCCTAAGCTTTTACGCAAATGCAAACTTTTAAAGGGCCGTTGAAGGGAAGAAAAACGCACTCATGTTATGGATGTCCTTCTTTCTGCGGTCCCGGTAGAAATCGCCGTCATCGCCGTTGATTGGGCCCTGCGACGAGCCGCGCGCCTGAAAGATATGTTTTTTTTATGAAAATACGCTAGATCTTCGTTTTTTAATATATAAAATTATTAATTTATGAATTACCATATGATCCATATCGTGTGACGAGGTGGGGGCTGATGAGGAGACGACATGGCGGAACGAGTTCGACTGTACGCCCGGGATTCCGATACCGCCCACTGGAGACGTCGAGTGCCCGGAGCCGCCTGGAATTATGAGGATAAGACTACGTTTTATATAACGATTTCGAACTTAGCGTTTTTAGGATTGATTTGGAATTTTTTACCAGCAATTCTCAAAAAATCTCTGCTCATTGACCTCCTTCAACTTGAGGGCAAGCGTTAGCAAAATTTCAAATCGTTTCTGCTAGCTTGCCCAGACCTTTTTTTTTGGACTATTTTGATTATTCCCAAAGACCCATTCCTGGTCGACCTCGTTGAACTTGATGGGGCGCTTTATGAAGGCGAAAATGGTCTTAAATCTAGCCTTCCACTGGCTTAAACGCATTCCCAAAAACCTCTGCTAGCCTACCCCCAATTTCCGCGTACTTTACGAAAAATTGCTCAACATTGTGTGGCCTCAACGCCCATTTCTTGGGTGGCTAATCGAAACGCCAGGATGGTGAACGAGCGGTGATAAGTGGCTCGAAGCGGGCAGCCCTTTTTTGTGGCCCCTTCCCTGTCCGCCCATCAATCATCAATTCAAGGGAGGGGACGATCGATTTTGAGCCCAGGCGAACAGCTGATTCTCCCCTTACGGCCAAAAAGAGGGGAGAAACGGTCACACGCTGTGGTCCAAGGTGTGCCTTGACCGTATCCCGGGAAAATGCCAAAATGCCGACAGGTAAAAATCCAGAGAGCCAACATGCCGACAGCCAGAATCACGAAAGACCAAAATGCCGACAGGCATAATCTCGACAGCCAAAATCCTGACAGCAATGGCTCGAATTTCTCTAGCAGCTCATGTCTTGAAAGGTGAAACCTGCCAGGTTTTTTGCGCTAGCAGAGACTTTTGAGGAATTCCCATAAAACTCAGGACAAAGTTTCGGAAGGGCAAGTAACAAAGGTTATTTGGGAAAGGCAAAGCCTAAGGCAGAAAACGCACCCTTGTGCCAATCGAGCAGCGGCAATTTGAATATCATTTTCGAGGAGGTAAAAGATTCAGATATAGCTAGTATCAAAGTATCAGTGATTTCCGTTCGGCTACTGTGACGAAATGTTGTTAGGGGGGAGGGGTGTCTTTCACACGCAATAATCTCAGCTCTAATCACATGACCCCCAACGGGCGGGGCCGTAAACAGGTTCACGGCGTACAAAGGGGGCGGAGACTCGAGAAATATTACAAGCGCACTTTACAGGAGAGCGAGAGAGGGAGAGAGAGAAAGAGAGCGAGATAGCGAGAGATAGCGAAAGTGCAATAGAGAGAAAGAACGTGAGGATGAGAAAGAGAGCAAGAGAAAGAACGAACTAGGGAAAAAAGAGAGAGAGCGTGAGAACACGAGAATGTGAGAGAAACAGAAAATCGAAAGAGCGTGAAAACGAGAGAATCAGAGATGCGATAGAGAGAGAGAAAAACAGACAGACACGCAGACAGACAACACACAGACCTACAAACAACCAGACAGTAAGACAAAGTTCGTTTTGGTCAACTTTCCCGGGGCCTGGGCTAGAGAGCGGCCAGATTCGAGAGAGCCCAGGGAAAAAGCGGGGCAGCTGGCGGCTGGCCAATCGGCTGTCTGGTGTCCCCGTAAACAAGTGGTCCGTATGAGCCTCGGCCACCCAAAAAAATACGTCACCCCGGGCGGGCCGGTAGATTAATGGACTGTCCTTTCCGGGGTGGTAAGACAGCGGAAAAACAAAGCTTTCCGGGGGGTCTGAAGCTTTGATTTTTGGGGGTTGATCGGGGGTGTCTAGCGTCTTTTTAGCTGAACGGCAGAGGGGTAGGCTTAGGCTTAGGCTTAGGCTTGGGCTTAGCTTTGCGTTTAAGCTTAGGTTTAAGCTTATTCCTAGACTTCTGCAAATGCATGTAACTCAAAAGCAGGCTAGCAGAGGTTTTTGAGGATTTCCGGCGCCTTCCACGATTTTTTGTATGATTTTACAGTAGCAACCAAGAAAACCGGCGTTTTGAAAAGTTATATTGATTTAAAGGAGGATAAAAACCAGCAAAAAACAACCAGCTTGCAGAGAAACTTTGAGAAATACCTAATAACCTCCTTAAGGCTCATTTTTTAAGGTAAAACAACAGTTTTTCGCCCCGGCAGACTAGCAGAAATTATTTGAGACTTTATCACAGCAAGAAAATCAGAAACGTGCGGCATTATTCCGAAATTTGCATAAAAACGCAAGTCTGACCAAGGTTTTGGAATTTACAGATTTTTTCTCGATATTTTACTTTATTTCCAAACTTTGTTTGGCGCTGGCTACGTGCCGAATCGGCAATGCATTTCACCCCTGCCCCCTCGGGTCCCCCAGCAGACCTACCAGATGAATTATTCCCGCCGGGAATGGGTCGACTGGCCGAGATGTTCGTCAAGTTGTCGGCGTATGAGTGCGAGATCGGCAGCTGGAAATTAGAAATATTTAATCAGTTTCAAACACGTATTTTTGATGGTTTTCTAACGGGACTGCAAGCATCCAGAGTGCCAAACACCAACAAAAATTCGACGGATAATAATACGGAAAAATTTGAGGCAGGGCTCAAATTTTATCAGTTACGCGATGAAATTAGGATCCAACTAACCCGTTACGCTACAAAATTCTGGGGTTAAACCCATTAAGCGATGAAATGTGTTTTGGTACGATTTTTACAACCGATTACGATGCTAAATTCTTTAGAAAAATGGAGGGAAAATTTCCAAAAGAATTGCGGTATGAAATGGGACAAGTGACGCCTCGCTACCGTATCAAATTTAGGGTTTTTAAGCACTATTTGGACTCAAAAATTGAAACGCCAAGAAATTGGAGCAAGTTTATTCGATTACGATACAAAATTTAGGGTTAATCAGTCGATTACGCTATGTAATTACGCTCAAAATACGTTAAGAATTACGTTAAGTACAAATTAACTGTTTTAAACCCCCAAACAGTTCTAAATATAAAATATATTGTAATTATGTAAAATTTTTGCTGGAATCGATAAAAACGGGGATGCGGAACGAAATTTTTCACAAAGAATAATTAATTACCGGTTGTGTCTTTCCCCGGATGCGCTGCTCGTCCTCCAACGAGAGTATCTCGTCTATTATCAAGTCATCGAGCAACTAAACGCGCCAATTTAGCCACATGCACAACTTTCAACGAATATTTTCGATTTTCTACGTTTTAAAATATTCAAAAAATTTTAAAATTAATTTTCGAGAAATTTTTAGGGCTTCACACCCGATGGTCCCCCTAAAATTTTTACAGTTCTTTTTCAAAGCTCTCGAAAGCTAATAAATTCTATGGATTTGTCTTCTCAGTCCCTTTAAACCATCAAAAACTTTCTATTTCATGCTTAAAATGAGTTGATGCTGTTTTGAGGAACTCGGGGGCAAAATTTAGTTATGCATTTTTGGCAAATTGAGGGCCAATCCGTTTAGGTAATACAATTATTTGAATGTTGGTTGATGCCTGGCTGATAAAAGTGTTTTAAAGGGACTGGAAAGGCAAGAACTGGCGTAGAACGATAAAATCGACTGCGCGGTCATCTTAAGCCAAGGAAAAAGCTTTGAATGTCACTTATCCGTTCCTTTAAACGCTTAGTACAAACTATTTATGGTACAAATGGCTAGAAAAAAGTTTTAAGGGACTAGGAAGACAAAAATAAGCTATGGATTTTGTTGCTAACCGCTATAAGCGGCTTCCCGGTCACTTTAAGATTGAAACCCACGTCAAATATCATGGTTTTCGTACGTAGGAGACTTTGGAATCGTACGTAGTGAGTCAAGAAACGGAATAAAACGAATAGCTGGGTTTTTTTATTGTTATCGAAGGGTCGGATTTTAGGGTCTCTGTGTGTGTGCTGTTTCACTGGGGTCAAAGGGGGCGGGGCCAGAGGGGGGACGGACCAGCTGACAAAAAATGGCTAGCCGCCCGGCGAGAGAGCAGAGGGAGAGAGAGACAGCAAGAGCCAGAGAGAGGGTAGAGAAACAGACGCTTCACCCCCCGTCCATACCCCCCACGTGCCAATGTGCGGGAAAACAGCCCCCCAGAAAGCGCTGGGCTAGTCGAGGCGAAGGGGCTAGACAGAAACACAGACACACACAGACAGACAAACATCACCCCCCAAAGGCTTTTGGCTAAGAGCCAAAAACCCGGCCGGGTAATTGGGTTCTGACGGGCCTATTCTGGAAATGAATGAATGGGTGAGGAGAAGGTTCTAGAATTTTGTGTGGAAATGAGGCTGATATGCGAAGGTTTGGGCTTGTTTTCGGCTTGTTTTCGCGTGATTTCGGCTTAAGTCTGGGCTTAGGCAAGGCTTAGATTTACTAACACGATGGCGAAATTCGAAATGTTGAAATGCGAAATGTCGAAATTTCAGAATTTCGCAACAACCAAGTTTACCATGAAAAAATACGGAACCAATGTTATAGCAGGAATTTCGACATTTTGTACAAGGCTAGGCTGGACCTAAGCTCAAGCTAAGTCAAGCCTAAGCCGAAGCTAAACCTTAGCCTCAGCTCAAGCTAAGCCCAAACCTAAGCCCAAGCCTATGCTAAGCCGACGCTTAAATTAAGCCTAAGCCTAGCCTAGCCCAACTGTTTTTCGCGAAAAAATGAAGATTCCTTGACTCGCTACATTTTTCTCTTGCTCCCCAGCCCTCAGGAAGCTCGAACTTTGACCAGGAAGCCCCCGGGAGCCCAGAAAAGAGTCCACGGGCACACCGGCTGCGGGCATTTCAAAAGAAAAAGCCGCCGCACACACACAGCTGCCCACACCCCCCGAAAACCTCCATTTTTCACGGTTCTTCTGTGAGGGTTTTAGAGGACAAGGGCGCTAGAAAGTCCCAAATTATAGCTACGTAGGTCTAGACTATCGTCGATTATTGTTAGAATTTATCGATTAATTTTAATTAAGTAATTTAGGTTTTAAAGTTGTGAATTCCTCACCTCGCTCTGGTTGAAGTTGGGGGAATCGCCGTAGCGCTGCATCTCCGGCGATTCCATGGATGGGGATTGGCGCTGGTTCTGGAAAGGTATCGATAATTAAAGCATTTATCTACTAAATTTTTATTTAACCCAACTTTAAGGCTGGATGGCAAATTTCGAGGCATTTTTTTGGTTATTTCTTTGTGATAAGCCTAGGACAAGTTAGGCTAAGCTGAAACCCGAACCTAAGCTTGACCTAAGCCAAAGCTAAGCCAGGCCTAAGCCGAAGCCAAGTCCAAGCAAGTCAGGCTTTAATTCTCCAAAACAGATTCGGCACCTGCAACAACACGATGGTGCCCCGTTTCCCGTTGACAATTTTTCGGACGAGCAATGTCCGTGGCGGCGTCGACCCCAACGAGCCATGAGCAGAAGATGAGGAAGACGGAGATGAGGATGTGGATGGGGTGGCGGACGGGGGTCTCTTGAGACCGCGACGCTCCGAAATGGTTGTCGGTGGCTGGGAGATGGTGGACGGGGTGGAGACGACGCGACGACGTCCGCCCACCCGGCGACCAACCCCGTAGGGACCGCTCACTACGCACGGCTCCGTTTTGGCTGCAATTGTGAGGCGATAGAGTGGGGCGAGAGAGAACGAGAGAGAGCGGGAGAGAGAGAGAAAGCATGAGAAAATCGGGGTCTAAAGGGAAGGGCAACGATGGTTTGCTATGGAATTTTTGGCCTTGGACTTTGAGGATACCTTACTCCGGATAGTTAGGCTGAACCTAAGCCTAAACCTAAACCTAAACCTAAGCCTAAGAAAAACTCCTAGTCCATGATTTTAAAAGACCATTGAAGTCAGGGAAATCCTATGGAAATGAGATGAGAATGATGATATGAGAATTCACACGAAAAATGAGCAACCGAGCGAGAGAGCGAGAGAGACACCGATAGAGCGAGAGATAGATACAGAAAACACGCTTTTCCATACCGACAGAAACACAGCGGGGGATATCTGTCTGTCTGCCCGTCTGTCTGTGTGTATTCAAGGTGCCAGCCGGCACCCCGGATCGTTATCAGCCTCCCCCCTCGGGCGCCACCAAAAGGAGAAGCTGTCAACGGGAAGTCTCACGGAATGGGCAAAAGATGAAGCCTCCCCGTGAATGCTGTGCCATCCCGTATATAGAAGTTTTTCCACCCCGCGGGTCGAAGCATTTCCTGAAATCGATGCTCCCGTGCCGATCGGCTGGCCCGGTCGGCCCCCCCGAAACGAAATAAACGATCCGGCTGTCCGGGGCAGCGGCCGAGGAGCGTTGAAAGGTGTAATGTGGAATTGGAAAAATTGAAATCGACTTTTGAATCGAATGGATTTCGCCGCGGCTATTCATATGTTTAGAAGCGGGTTGAATGTTTTTAGAAATAAATATAGATTTTCAAAATCAGTTACGGTATGGGATTTTAAAAGAACTGGAAAGTCCGGAAAAACGCTAAATTTTCAAATTTCCGTGAAAATCAGCTTTTAGGCTCCACAAAGGGGCCAAGCATTTGTTTCACGTTTTTTAAAGGGATTCGAAGGCAAAAATCTATAAAACTCATTTAAACTTGTTACGGAGAATTTTGGTGTTTTAAAAAGCTGAGAAAATGAAAAAATGCTGAAGATTTGAAAAGAGTAATAATTGTTACTATATAAAGTGAATATTTAACGAGTTTTAAAAATTATCCGGGAAAACTCTAAAACCCAAAATTATCCCAGAAAACCGGTAAATCCTGGAAGTGGGCAGAGAGAGGGAAAATTTCGCGCGCGGCGCACCGGAGCGCCCGCATAGTATTCAGAGACCGGGGAAAAGGGAAAGTTTGCTCTCTCTATCCCTAGCTCTCTTTCTCTCTCTCGCTCTCTCTCTCTCTCGCTTTGAAAGAGCAGGGAGAAAAGGGCAGACAGACAGCCAAACACACAGACAGACAGACAGACAGACAAAAAGACGAAGGGGTGAAGCGGAGCGCAAGCTGTGCGCTGCACCCACCCAAAATACACACATACATATGGATGGCGAGAGAGAGAGAGAGAGAGAGAGAGAGAGAGAGAGAGAGAGAGAGAGCCAAGCTAGCAGAAAAGAGCAAAGAATCCAGCCCCAAACATGAGCCTAACCCGGAAATATACACCCAGGAAAATACAAACGAAGCAGGCTGGCAGGGATTCTTGAGAAATTGGAAAAAAATCGTAGTTTTGGAAAAGTCAAAAATTCCCTCAGAAGGGAAAACCCGGGAAGGAGGAAAGCTAGCAGCGATTTTTGTGGAAAAGAGGCTGTGGATTCTTGAGGAAAAATGGCTGCGAAGATCCGTTAACTAGACGACAAATAGAAAGAGGCAAACTAGCAAAAATTCTTAGGGAAAAGAGAATGTCAAGATAACTTTATAGAGCTTGACAAAGGCAAGCTAGCAGTAATTCATCAGGAACAAGGCCAGCTCAAAGCTAAAAAGTCTGCAAAAAAGCAAACTAGCAAAGATTCTTGAGGAAAAAGGCCTGTCTCGCCTCTTGAGGAGGTGAAAAAACTTAGCCATGAGGTGAGCTAGCAGAGACCATTGGTTTTAACCGACCTTTAGCCGCTAGAAAAATCTAACTTCAGAATCGCCATCCCCACAAAGGGAAAAGCTTCAAGTGAAAGCACGGAAAAGGAAGGGGGTATGATCAGATAAACGTTCACCCCGGCCAGGCCGCCCCGATTGGCATGGCAGGATGGAATGGAAGAGAGGGAGAGATAGAGAGAGAGAGAAAGAGAGAGAGACAGAGAGAGTGGGAGAGCACGAGATGAAGCAGAAGGACAAGCCGAAGAAACTGGTTGCCCACCTCGGCTGAAGCCTGTGGAACACACAGAAGATCTAGGGGGGCATGGCATGGTTGCTGGCACCCAGCCAGCCTGGCAGCGCGTAGCGCGGAAACCAGCTGAACTTGCTAGACGGGGCACGCGGGAAGGGCAAAGGATTTTATGGCTTGCTCCAAACTTGAGTTTTCTGGCAGACAGCCGAGTGCTTATGCAATGTTCCTAAAGAATTACATAGCGTAGTCGGTTCTAGATAATCGAAAACCATTTAAAAATAAACACTACAAGTTTTTAAGGGCGCCATGTCTTTAATTACCTGTCGTAATCCGTGGTAAATCGTAAAAAATTTCTAATTATGGAATTAGGTGGCGTAATCGGTTTGAAAAACTAGTAACGTTGTAATCTCTGAAATTAGGTGTCGTAATCAGATTTGGAAACCCCAAAAAAATCCGAAAATTAGCAAAATTTCTCCAGAATCTTCTATCCAGCATTCTCGAAAGCGCAAAAAATCCGTTCCACACCCCAGTACGGTGCTGACCAATCCTTTTCCGGTCCGTAATCAGTCCGTAATCTGGTGTCGAACGGAATCAGCACCGCGGTCGACTGCCAATCCAAAATAAAGCCCGAAAATTGACAGGGAACTCCAAAAATTGCACTGGGCGCTGAACATGGTCAATTTTTCATCGATTGAGGAGCTAGAGCTCCAGGAAAAAGAGCTCATTTTGGCTTGCCGGGGCCCTTAGAAGCACTCTCCGGTCAATAGCGATGGGAGCAAACCAGCAGACCGGCCTAACCTGAGCCCGGGCGATGGAAAAAGTTTTATTTAACATCGACCCAGGGGGCAGCCCGGCCAGGCCGAGGAGACCCATTCGATCAGCTGTCGAGCCGCAGCGGAGAGAGAGAGCAAGAGAGAGAGAGAGAGAGAGAGAGAGAGAGAGAGAGAGAGAGAGAGAGAGAGGCGAGAGAGAGAGAGGAGGGAGAGAGAGAGAGAGAGAAACGAAAAAGAAAACGACCTCTCCGAGTCTCGCCGGCGTCCAACGATTCCCCCCATTTTCCAAAAGCGTGTCTCGGCATGCCCAAAAAAGGGCAGAGTGGCGCGGAGGGGAGGAAAATAGCCTCCTTTTCCTATCTATTCCTTCCTAGGGGCGAAAGATGGAAAAGATGTTTTTCTTGAGCCGTCGCTGAAGAAAAACGGGCAAAGATCTATTTTACGGGCCTACGCCACGCTCCGAAAAGCGATTACGGGTGGTAAAGCAGAGGAAAAGCCCAAGCCTAAGCCCAAGTCAGGCTAAGTCTAAGTCTAAGCCTAAGCGTGGGTTTTTAGAGCTAACTTTTAAGCAAATGACCGCCTTCTCCTGAACTCGGCCATGAACCAAAAAACGATTACGCCATGTATTCCCCCAGAGAAAATTCGGAATCCTGAAAAAAATACTAAAATTCCACTTCCGCTGCACTTTTCAGCCTTTTTCTGACCTCAAAAAGCGCAAGCAGATCCCCAATTTCCCGGCCACAAAGTGCGTTTTATTAAAAAGACACTCGGAAATGCGATACAAATAGAGGAAGAAGGGAAATGGAGAGTGGGAGGGCTGGATGGATAATCCTTTTGGGAAAATGGAAACGATGGAGGGGCAGACAAATCATTTGGACCAAACGAAAAAGAAGAAGAGGGCAACCAGAGACCAAAGCTTCACCCCCTCCCCCCCCTGCCCGGAAGGCATCGATCCTCAGAGTGCGGAGGGAAGATGGAAATGGAATGGATAAACTACAACTCGAGGATTTGCTCGTGCTCAATCACTAAATCTCCTGCTCGCTTATCTCTCTTGCTTATGCTAGTGCTCACTCTCGCTCTCTATAGCTCTCACGCTCATTCTCTCTCCCGCATTTCGTCGATAAGAAACTTAACAAATTTCTATAAGGTGCTCGCTAGCAGGGACCGTTTGAGGATCCGGAAAATGTGCTTGTGGAGTCGCAGAATTTTGGATGGGAGCATGCTAGCAAAGATATTTTTTGAACCACATTAAAGGCAAAAAAACAGAGCACCACGCCAGAACAGCTGGCAGATCCCGTCAAAAGCCATGTCTATTCAGGAGATGGGGCCATATTTGGGCAGCCATAGCGAGTGAGAGAGAGAGAGAGAGAGAGAGAGAGGGAGAGAGAGACAGCCAGACATATCCAACATAAACATATCCCCTCCCCTCATCGGTGTGTTGTGTTTGTGGGGGGCGTTGGGGCCCAAATAATCGCGACTAGCTAGCCAGACACGGCGGCTAGTGAGGGCCAAGTATATGGCAGCCGGGGAGGGCAGCTTTAACTCTCTCTCACTCTCTCTCACTCTCTCTCTCACTCTCTCTCTCTCTCCGCTCCATTGTCCTCTAAACTCGCCGTGAGCATGGCCGCCACCGACACAACATATGGAAGGAAAAGGGCTTAATAAGCTGGAATTCGAAAACGAGGGCGTTGGAATCGATTACGCAATGTAATTTTAGTTGATTTCCTAGATTTTAGGCTCGCTTTGACTTATGATGGGCTTGGGCTTGCTTAAACTTAGCTTTGATTTAAACTTAGGATTTGGCTTCGTCAGCTTGTTGGCCCGAGCCTCAGCCTAAGCCCAAGCCAAAGCCTAACCTAAGCCTAATCCTAAGACTAAGCGTAAGCCTAAGCCTAACTCCTATTCATACTCCTCAAGAAATCCAAAAGTTCCTGGTTGGAAAGTGTCGTCCGGGGACAACGGAAAAGTCCTACGGACGGAGAGCTGGAAAACAACAGGTCAATCGGGCTGGGCGAGGGCTGTTTGCTGTGTGGAGATTGTCGCTTCCTCTCTCTCTTTCTCCCACTCTCTCTGGCTCTCACGCCCAAAAAAAACCCGAGACTGTTCTAGCGGGCGGGGGCCCAAAACATCTGTGTTTTGGTCAACAAAACGGGTGGGCTAAAACTTGGCAGAGTTGAGCTTTGATGTTTTAATGGACGGGTTGGGGCGGAGGGCTAGCCGGGATTCTTGAGGATTATGATTTCAAAGGGGATTTAGGGTGAAATTTAGAATATTTTTGTGATGGGGAAGCTAGCCGAGACTCTTTGCGGAAGTGTGATTTCATCAGGCGAAAAGTTAGACTATTTACGGGCCATAGAAGCGAGGATCCACAGCAAGCAGGGCCATCTAGCAGTGACAATTTGGGGGAATTTACGAGGAAATTACTCCACAATTCGGCGGTCCGATCAAAAGCAACAGGGGCAAATTGACAAATCGCAGCAACAGAGAGGCAGAGAGAGAGAGAGAGAGAGAGAGAGAGAGAGAGAGAGAGTGAGAGTGAGAGAGCCAGACGTCCATTGCGCGGCAGTGGCCCTTCCCACCAATTTTC